GGCCTCTATGGCCGAAATTAGGATGGACACATCCCTAATTTCGTCCAAGCCTAATCCATAAGCCTTCTAAGCCCGATACTCAACTATCACACATTTGACAGTTTAAGTCCCCGTTATTTAATTAATGTCTTTTAGCCACAAAATTAATTCTTAATTAATTCTTGTCTAATATTAGTTAAACTATATGATTTTTCCTTTAATATATTATTCATATAATATATTAATAAACCATAATAACCTCTCTCTTCATAAATCACCCTGTCAAGTTGCTCTGGTGAAGACAATCCAAAAGGACCTTGCACAACCGGGTCAAGTACTTATAAAATGTAGTACGGGCTTAGACACTAATCCAACAATAGTCACTTTCATCTTACACATAGATATGAAGTATTTTATATAAATTACGTGCTATATGTATATATATTATCTGTTTACTTGAGATGTATGTTGGATGAAAGATCTAAACCTCTTTCTTTTCAGATCTGAACCTTTTTCCTTCACATCTAAAATTTTCTTTCAGATCTAAGCTTTTTCTTCAGATCTAAACTATATATGTATTTTATACTTTGAGATCTGTGCTGGATGAAAGATTTAAACTTCTTTCTTTTCAGATCTGAAATTTTTCTTTAGATCTAAACTGTAAATGTATTTGGGTTTCGGATCTGAGCCTTTTCTTCAGATCTAAACTGTAGATGTATTTTGTTTTTAGATCTGAGCCTTTTTCTTCAGATCTAAACTGTGGATGTATTTTGCTTTCAGACCTGAGCCTTTTCTTCAGATCTAAACTGTAGATGTATTTGGTTTTCAGATCTGAGCTTTTTTCTTCAGATTTAAACTATGTATGTATTTTTTTTTATCTACAAATATGTTGGGTAGAACATGGGCAGATGAAATAGTAGATGTGTGATAAAATGATGAGAGGCCTCGATGTTTACGATGTTTAAGATGATCCAGTCATCTAGCGGAGTATAGATGACGACCACAAAATTTTCTAGGCAGTCAAGTGGAACGCTAGCTGGCTCGCAACCTGTAGGTGTTTTTTAAAATGTACTCCATCCCCCCATGGTTGCCTTATTTGACATGTATTGTTGAGGAATCCCCTGAGCAGTGTTGTCACCCCGAAGAAAAATCCTTAGGCTAGGTCCCTTAGAATAGATGCTTTAGGGACGTAAAGTGAGTTGGAAACCCTATATGCTCACCAGGCTCCCCAGCCTGACCCACTGAGTTTCTTGTATTACAGGTAGTAGCAAAAGCATAGTTGGATGATCTGACGAGAGATTATGGATTTGTAGGCACGTATAAAATAAATAGAATGTTGTAAGGCCTATTTTGTTTTGAGACTAATTTTGTTTTGTGGCCTATGATGTTTTGTTTATTCTTTTGATCTTTATTGACGTTGACATCCCGAGTTTTGTAATGTAATGAAAATACATTTCTTTAAGAAATGTTTTGATAAATTTTTATCATGTTTTGTTTTGAGAACAAAATTCCGCAACACTTTTCTATGAAAGATTACTCTGATTTTATTATAAAAGCATAAACGAAATCGGTCTTTTCTGGCCGTGAAAATGGGGATGTCACATCTAGCACAGTTAAAGTTACTAGCATTAATTACTTAGTCTAAGATATAAATAATCCTAGCTCTAATTATTTAATGATCATAAACAACTAGGAAAACAAGTTTATGCAAATAGAATGATCATATACTACAATAAACTCGTATCAAGGCATTCAATGACTAAAACTAAACATGATAGGGTTTTGATTATCAAACATAATGAACATAAAACATCCAATATTCGAAATCAACATATATGATCAGGGTTCATCTTTTACCAAATAGAAGTATGGGGTGCTTAGCCTATAACTAAATCAGAAACAAACAATAAATCTAAGTTAAGTAGAAACGACATTGTAAAATCTAGCAAACCGAACGATTTAATGATGTTCTTTCTTCAATTCTCTACAACTCCTGCAATCTAATCGATTCCTAGCCTTCTCCAAGTTTTCCAGAGGTTTTTAGTCGTAAATCATAGCTTATTCCTCAAGCCAACCTCTGAAATTCGACTTAATATTCGTATATTTATAGTTGTCATATATCTGATCACCACGACGTGGTTGACCGCCAACACGTCGTGGTCTTCTATGAAATCCTATATGCGTTAAGTCATAGAAGCTTCTAGATTAGGACATGTGGCCACGTCGTGGCCTTGAGATCGCCACGTCGTGGCATGTAATTCTACACAATTTCTCTTCCAATTCCATGTTGTTGTTAACTTTGGCCTCCAAGATTCCAACTTTTTTCATATTTGGACCCTTTCCTTCAAGAATGTCCTTTTTGGCTGCAAAGTATAATTTAACTTAATAAGTACCAAATATCTTTGCAATTAACCAAAATATAGCTTAAAAATGTATTAAAATACTACTTAAATATATGTATAAATATAACAATATCAATGACCCATGCAAGTCTAGAGCTCAAGCTAGTCAAAAATGAAGAAATAACACCAAAATCTCATGCAGTGAGCTCAAAACACCAACAAACATCAAATCTAAAACTTATACCCATTAAGGGACCTCAAGGACCCATAAAGTTGCCAACTTTATGGAATCCCACCATTCCAACTAACTCATCCTTGAAGAAAGGGGAAAAAACCTAGATATAGAGAAATAGAGCAAGAAAGCTTGGAACATGAACACTTACAAGAGTCCAGAATAAGAGATAGAAGATGATGATGATGATACTTGCAAGCTAGATCTATACTCAGAGAGTGCTTCCTTCTACTTCAAGGTACCACAAAACACCAACAAAGCTCAAGATCTTCAACAATGGAGGCTAGGGATTCAATGAGACTGAAAATGAGGTGATGGAGGCTGAGGGTGTGAAAACAGTAGCCATCACATCCTTTAAATAGGGGCACACATCTCGGTAGTAGGGTTTAGCATAAAATGGTCGCCATGTCGTGTCCAATATATTTCCACATCGTGGCGCATACTTACACTGCGCGTCTCATATGGGCCCTGCCATGTCGTGGTGACACCTCCACCATGTTGTGGACGCCCAAAAATCCATAATTACTTTTAAAATCCATACGTCGATAATTCGGATGTTACAAATCCATCCCTATTGCGTAGGGTACACGAATTCAAAAGTGAGATAATCTAAGAACAAATCCAATCCGAATTACAGGCCTAATCGGAATTGAGAAACACATAATACATTTTGTTGATGTGCTTTTTGAGAGACAAAAAGATTATATGATCTATTTCAAGTCTATATGTTCCAACCCGTTTTTGGAACATTCATCATCTTTATATAAATGAAAGAAGACGGTTGGAAGTTAATTTACTTTTTTTTGCGCCAAAATGGGTTGCTTATAAGACAAAAACTAACTTATGACATCATCATGATGTCATACCTGATTTTGGCGTAAAATGCATATATGGTTGGTCTCTTTCCACCGTCGGGGCTTTGCCCCTTGGACCTCACAAATGGCGCTACCCCTAAACCACGTTAGGGGCGCTGCCCCTAGACCCCGTCACGGGTGTTGCCCCTTGCAACCCTATGCCCAGGGGTGCTACCCACGGACCCCCGTATTCTCGAGTTCACATTTGATATTTCGATTGTGCACCTTGCACCTCTAGTCTCATATAGCCAATAGAACCCAGTCTGTCTCGAGAGCAATACTAACTATACTAAAATATCTTGATAACATTAAAGTCACCGACATGCCTTAAAGCCTAGCTACGTCTGACTAATGTTGAGTTGAGTCAAAACTAGACTTAGTTTGCTCGAAGTTTGGCCAGCGAGAGAATGCTCACGATTGGTTTGTTTGACGTGAGTTTTGTTGCTGTAAGCTTCCATTTACTTGTATATTGTCAAACTCTAATAAACATTGTATGAAACGGTTTTTACTTGTATATTGTCAAACACTAATAAACATTGTATGAAACTGGTTTCTATAACTTTGTATAAACTATAGCTAGCCATGCCTTATTCTATATGGACTGAATAATTAAAAAGTATTATTGAAATTTATAAGAAACTAAAGCCAGTTAGTTATAATAGTCATATGAAGACTCGTAGTGTATAGACTTAAATATATTTAATTTGATAGTATCACTTACGATTGACTTCTATGAATTCATAATGTCACCGACTCTGTAGTAGTCTATATGGTTGACCATGTTAGCCTCGGATTAACATTTACTCATGCAATGATTACATTCATTTTATTTTGAATATTTTCAAATTGAACCAAATTAACGATAATACTGTTATAAAACCAAACCAATGTGGTCTAACTATTAGTAATATGTTTTATATGTATCCATGATCATTTTCTCGTAAATAAACTTCTACGCAAGTGATATCCAGCCTAGCTGGGTTGATGCACCGGGTTTTATATCTATGTGGGGTGTGAGGTTGGGAGTTCGATTCACTTAAACTACCTCTTGTGGTGCCACATATGGAGAATTTTTCCCTGGAAATCCCTATGGGGGCTGGGTTTGCCCTGTAAAGGAGCTCGAACACGGGGTGCTCGTTGAAATATTGTGAGTAGGCTTCCACTTAATTCGTTTGCCGTTTCCAAAAAAGATAAACTTCTACTAAAACAAAGCGTCTACAAAAGTAAAAACGATATTAAGCAAGTCCTGTTGTCCATTTGTAGATGGTAAAAACCGCCTAGATTTATTATTCGTTTACGATAATTTATTAGATAACCCACAAATTGCAAAAATTAAAAACAACACTAGTTTGTTTTTAATATACTACAAAATAAAATTAATCATACACAATTTTTCTCATTTAAATGGTCATCGTATAAAATGCATGTGGGAAAATCATCTCCCATGCAGAAACTTTCCATTTTGTACAAAATTTGAAACATATCTTTCCAAGGGTGTTGAAACATACACACACCACTTGAGAAAAATATAAAGAGGATCACCAAAAACGAAATTTGTTCACAAAATGGTAAGAATCTATTTGTTTTTTTTTTTCATGCAATCATGGAGAAAAATGACAAAAAATCAACTTCTTGGCAAGGAATGATTATGCCCGATTCATGATTGAATCCGAATTCTTCTTCAGATCTTTGTAGTAGATCTTGAAACGTTGGATGATCCAAACATGATATTGGTACGATGTATCTGCTTCGCCTTTCTCCTATGTATACCACAAAATGTCCTTTTGGGACATCGTTTGGAAGGCTATTGTCATCACTGTTCTTGCCAAAACTTGAGCACCTTTTGATGATTTTCTTGAGAGCTAATGCTTGAGTTTGTTTATTGTTCGACTTCCTGAGACCCATTGTTATGGAGGTTCTGGTAGCGCTGATGGTGGTGTTTGTGGTTGCTGTGGTGGTGGTTTGATTTTTGAAATGGAGAGGAAAGTATTTATAAGGGAGAAGAGAGGGGCAAAAGCATGTGGAGTGTAGGGGCAGGTAGTAAACAAGGTAGTTCACGGGTTCACCTCTTTGAGCTTGCCCTACATTGGTATCCCTCCTTACAGACATCAAGGCCCAAAGTCTTTTTCTTGATTTATGTGCTTTTACATTTATACATATTTGAATATAAAGAGAGACCCAAAAACCGCCACCACCTTCAAGAGGTCATGTTGTACGGTAATTTATAGACAATATATAAAAATAAGATTCTAATAGGCATTTAAACAAGTAGAAATTTCGTCTAAGCTTAAATGTTCGGGTGCATATTTTGGAAATTATTATTATTTGACATTTTTGTTATATACTGTAAGAAAGATGAATCCATTATAGTGATAGTTAATTAATTATAGTTATACATATATGCGTGTGTTTGAAGAAACGCGTTATATTTGTGTGAAGAAATTTATGTGCATGTGTTTGATGAAAACGCGTGATGGAAAAAACAAAGTTTAGAAGATTGTCTATTCGAAGCAGAATTTTAATGTTAAGTCGTATTCGTGCATTTATGATTTGTCGTCTGAGATAGTTTTGTGGATAAACAAGCACTAAAAGCAAGGACCAATACATAAATCGCCGTTAAAACAACAACAAATCGCCGCTAAAGGCCCACGGTTAAAACCACAACAAATCGCCGCCAAAGGCAATAGTGGTGAATCGCCACTAATGAGTCGTCGTTATTGTCCCAACGGTACTGCTAAAAAAAATACCGCTAAAGAAATTTGTCGCCGCAAATGGTTGCATCGCCAGTAATATACCATAAATCCTCACTAATGGCCACGTCCTAATACCCAGAAATCGCTACTACAACGTAGCCGTTAATGCTTTTTTTAAGACAAAATTACATAAATGGTCCTTGTGTCTTTTTAAGACAAAATTACATAAATGGTCATTGTGGTTGACACAATTGATCAACTCTGGTACTTATGACAATTTTTGTACATATACGGTGCATATGGTTTCAAAACTTGCAAAGACAGTCTTTTTGACTAACGGTGTTAACTTTTTCAGTTAAGTCATTGTTTCCTAGCATAGGAACCATTTATATACTTTGTTACAGCCGTAGAGACCATTTATGTAACGTCATCTATTATTTATTATTATTTTTAATTAATTTATTTATATTTCTATAATTTAGATTTTTTTGACGTTCTGTTCGAATATATTATTTAATTTTTTTTAATATATTTTTTGCTTATATTTTTTGATATTTTGTTCGTTTAATTTTTTCTAATTTTTTGACTTTTTTTAATACATTTATTAATATTTCTTTTGACTTTTTGTTTAAATAATTTGTTTTATTTTTTAGTTTTACGTTTTATTCGAATATATTTTATAGTGTTTTTTTCTACATTTTGTTTGTTTGTTTTTATTAAAGATTTTATGGTCTTTGTAATCATAATTCCCAATTTAATTCACTTACAATCATATTTTTCTTTTTTTTTCTTTTAGTATACATAAGGTTTTATAACTATTATTTTATAATTCAAATATATAACTATATAACGCATACAAATTTGTATAATTATTATTTTTGTAAAACTTTTTATAAACATTTTTATTAAAAAATATAAAAAGTTGTTAAAGGTTAATATGATTAATATAAATTAGGTACATATAGACTAATATAAAACTGTCTCGTAGTCTTGACAAGAGCGTCCATGTCATTTCACATCGGACTTAACTTTAGTATTTTTGAGTTATTTAATTCTTTTAGATATTTTTTTCGATTAGCCTATCTATATCATATTCACATTTAACAAAGCTTTTTATATATTAAAAAAATGTTTATAAAAAGCTTTACAAAAAGAATAATTATAAAACCTTATATGTGTTATATAGTTATATATTTGAATTAAAAAAAATAATAATTATATAACCTTATATATTAAGAGAACAAAAAAAATGATTGTAAGTCAATTAAGTTACGAATTATAACTATAGTGACAACGAAATCTTTAACATATGTAAACAAACAAAAAGTCAAAGAAATCACTAAAAATATATATTTGAACAAAAAGTCAAAAAAAAAATAGAAGAAATTATTCAAGCAAAAAGTCAAAAGAAATATTAATACATGTATTCGAATAAAACGTCAAAAAAATTATTAGAAAAAATTATACAAACAAAATATCAAAACATCAAGAATATATTCGAACAAAACGTCAAAAAAGTTCTAAATCACATAAATATAAATAAATTAAATAAAAAAATAATAAATAATAGACAAAGTTACATAAATAGTCCATATGGCTGGAACAAATTAAATAAATGGTCCTTATGGCATGAGGGGCAAATGAGTCATTTCACAAGGGACTTAATTGAAAAAATTAACATTGTTAACCAAAACGACTATCTTTGCAAGATTTTGAAACCACAGGAACCATCTACGCACAAAATTTGTCATATGGACCAAAGTTGGTCAATTGTTTCAACCACAATGACCATTTATGTAATTTTGTCTATTTTTAATAAACTCTTTTCGGGTGTAGAAAACTGATACGTAACGACATGCTAAAAATCTGAAACATTAAATGCAAACTATTACATATAACGACATCTACTTAACTACCAAAAGTGTTATAATTTCACACATATACCAAAATAAATAACAAATGTGTTTTAAAGTTATGTCATAACAAGTCTAATAAAACATAAACTAGTCAAACGTGTCATCATCTTGATTCCTATCGTTTCCTCCGTCTCACATGGTGTTTTATTCGCCGCAAAGCATGCTAGAAGTTCCACATTACACGTCGGATCGTTGAACATTGATTGAAGATTCTCCAACTAAATAATAAATAAAAACATATAAACACAAAAGTTAAACTATCAACATAAATCAAACTACTAAACTAAAAATTACCAAAATATAAGTAAACTACAAATTAACAACATAAACCAATTATCAATTACCAAACTAACTAGCAAACTATCACATTAACAATTACCAAACTAACAACCAAACTAGCAAACCAAACCAACAATCATACTACCAAACCAAAAACCTAACAATTATCAATTTATCAAATTATCAGCATAAACATGCATATCAAATCATCAACATTGTGACATCCCCATTTTCACGGCCAGAAAAGACCGATTTGTTTATGCTTTATTTTGAAAATCAAAGTAACCTTTTAAAGAAAAGAGCTGTGGAATTTGTTCCCAGAAAAACATGATAAATACGTTATCAAAGCATCTCCAAAGAAATGTATTTTATTCATTTTAGAACATTGGGATGTCATCGTCAATACAGAAACGTAAGCATAAACAGAACTTACATTCGTTATCACTAGTGATTTATGTATCTTTAATCTCTCAGTGTAATGTAACTTCATATCGACACCTGTGATACAAATAAACTGAGTGGGTCAGGTTGGGAAACCTGGTGAGTACATAGGGTTTTCAACCCACAATAATATAGTTATTATGTTTCATCATCAAACAATTAACCCATTTACCCATCCCCGTTATCTTCTTTATTCTTAAGTATCTTATCTGTGAATCATCTACTCGTCATTATTTATTCCTAAGGATTGTCCTAAGGAATAGGCACGAAGTCCATCGTCGCCAGGGTTTATATAACAGACACTAACTCCATAGTCGTCAGGGTATATATAACACGCATTAAATGTGTCCAAACAATCATATAATTTTCACACCTACTCATACTCGCCAGTAGTATAGGCCTCTACTATCTTTCACACCTACTCATACTCGTCCCAAGTATTTTCTCGTAGTTCTCCAAGTTATTATCACAAAAACAATTTTAACACATAAAAATGTGTCCAAACAATCATATAATTTTCCCTAGACTCTACTCGGACTTCTTCCATGTGTATCTTCAATCATCAATTCTGATTCAACTCGGTTGGTGATGTAAATGTCAAACGATGGGATAACTTCATGCATTATACCAAAAATCTTTCTTTCTGCTAATCGAAAGTGTACTTCTCCTGTACTAGACATATTATTTATTAGATGCATTCTAAAGGCAAGATATCACTCTTACGATATCTTCCGATAGGTACTATCCAGTATCGTAAGCCTTCTCATTTCCTCCATCTACTCAATTCGCTACGAGTCTTCACCATGATGTTCTGCACAACAAAGTAGTCGTTTGGTGTATCGAGACAAGAATAAAGATAGCGGAAGGTTTAGACACATATTCCTCCATATTACCTCGAAAAAATATATGCCAGTTCTAATATCGTAATTAAACGCTTAGAAATTAGAACACATAAAATTTCCAGATTCGGTCGGCAACATACCATAGATCCGATCAAACGATAGCATAAAGCATCAAAAATTATTAAGCACATAAAAGCATCTTAGGCATTTTCCCTAATTAAGCTAGTGCTTGTGTCTATTCAGGCGTACTTCCAAAAATATATTAGACACACTCCTCACGATCATCGCTTAGCATTCTAAGTTTAAGTCTAGAAATAAATCATTATTCCTAGTTCACTTAAACTAATGCTCTAATACCAACTGTGACATCCCCATTTTCACGGCCAGAAAAGACCAATTTGTTTATGCTTTATTTTGAAAATCAGAGTAACCCTTTAAAGAAAAGAGCTGCGGAATTTGTTCCCAGAAAAACATGATAAATACGTTCTCAAAGCATCTCCGAGGAAATGTATTTTATTCATTTTAAAACATTGGGATGTCATCGTCAATACAGAAACATAAGCATAAACCGAACTTACATTCATTATCACTAGTGATTGATGTCTCCTTAATCTCTCAGTATAATTTAACTTCATATCGACACCTGTGATAGAAATAAACTGAGTGGTTCAGGTTGGGAAACCTGGTGAGTACATAGGGTTTTCAACCCACAATAATATAGTTATTATGTTTCATCATCAAACAATGAACCGATTTACTCATCCACATTATCTTCTTTACTCTTAAGTATCTTCTCTATGAATCATCTACTCCTCATTATTTATTCCTAAGGATTTTCCAAAGGAATAGGCACGAAGTCCATCGTCGCTAGGGTTTATATAACAGGCACTAAGTTCATAATCGCCAGGGTTTATCTAACAGGCACTAACTTCATAGTC